ATGGCATATATGTATATATATATATGTATATATATGTATATATATATATATATATATATATATATGTACATACAATAATATTAGCTGGCATAATGTATTACGATTCAGGATAGGGACGTTTCAAACCACTGAGCAATATAGATCATATCCTAATACCGTAAGCGAACTACGACAAAACAAGCCTATCTTTGATCTAGTTGAAAACAAAGGGACGTCTAGAAGCTGCTTTGTAATTTTGTGCTTCATGCTGAACAACTGGAAATATTATTCAGCGTAAATCTTACCGAGAAAAGACATCGGGATCGGAATCTTCAGCCATGTTCTGTTTTTGATATCCAAGCCGGAGTTCGGCATAACCATCATTTGAACGATCTTCTTCTTGTCCGTCATTGTATCCAGTCGAAAATGTGCTAAAACAGTAAAACATGTAAAAAAAACCAACACCGTGCATCTAACTGAAAAAAACCCATTACAGCTTTCGAAAATATTGTCAATAACACGACACTCTTCTTATATGTCTAAGAAACGAAGGGATTCTCGAGCAGCCCAAGCGATAGCTCTTGTCAACAGCAATCATCTGCTTGCAAACAGCCAAATCCCACTTTTTCGAAAATGCTTCGAAGCAAGCTCATACCGGTGTTCTGGCATGTGCTAGTACTAATTTAACATCAAAATAAAAAGAAAAATCTAAAAAGTTCAATTTTCTGGTGGCAGAGTTGGCCTCGACCTTTAAAAAAAACCGCAATTGTGAATAAAAAAAAAGCAAAATCTGGGCTTTTTTTTACCAAAATTCGCGAATATCATCGACAAAAATGGAATGAAAAACTGGAAATATTGTAGAAATTCAGATTTAAACATGCAAGTTCTCACCTGAACCAACGATGGTGTTTGGAGCAGATCCGTTCGATGTTGCAGTGCTACTACTTGCCGGACGACCGTACTGTCCAGGTATTGGAGTTGGCGCACCTTCTGAACCTGTAACTTTCGTTCTGAGAAATCCTATAGCCCGAATTCCAACAATTCTTCAAATTCATAAATTTAATCGGCGAAAGTCACAAATTCAAAATACTAGTTTCGATCAATGAAATTCATCTAAACTCTTTAATATGTACCGCTAAAAAACCTCGTTTCTGAACCTCCTCCACTTTTTGAGTCCTGGATATATGTGCAAATCGTAGAATTTCAAGTGAATTATAAGCGATCTGAACTTCTTTTTTTGCCAAAAGTCAAGTACATTCCCTCTTTCCCTCCCGTCTCCTCCTCTCTCCTGCCCTCCGCCCTCTCTCCCCCCCCCCTGCTCTGATTTGCAGAACTCCGAAATGCTGATGAAACTTTTGCAAGAAACATAAGAATAGCTGTGAAATATAAGAAAAAATGTCTGGGAGAAGACGAATTACGAACTATAAGCAAAAATAATCGTAAAAAAAACTTTTTTCTAACCTTCAAGTATAGATGGCATTCCACGCATAGCATTTGTATGTTGAATCCAAGCTTGTGTATCAATCGGTCGTACCGGCTCATCTCGGTGACGTGGCATCGTAAATGCACTTCTCGGACCGCTATCCCACATTTTGGCTACCGTTAGCTTTATTGGCCTAGAAATTATCCTTACTATTAGCAAAAAAAAACCTGGCATGAATTCGTCTCGATATGTCACTGAGCCTTTCAGTAACATCACTAACAAGGGATATCCACACCGGCAGAAGTCCAGGTGAACTTGGGAATTAAATAGTAATGTCAAGGAAAACCTGCGAAAAGCCGGCCAAGAAGCCATCACAAAGAAAAAGGAGAAAATGTATCTTGTTTTGAAAGGCAGATATATAGTAAATGTGCTGTCAGGCTGAACATGGAGCATAAGGACCGGTGGTGTAGTGGCAACACATTGCGTCCGGACGTGAACAGGAATGGTTCGATTCCCAACCGGTTCAGAGAGACTTTTGAGGAAGGATTCCGTTGGATGGCTCCTGTTTGCACGGTGCCGTCACTCAAGGCATTTATTTGCAATTTCCTTTGTTTCTTATGTTGTGAGGAATATGGTCCTAATTACGCTGCATTTTTTTATTTTATAAATTATGAGCAGTTAAAATTTATCCTAATTTTAAAAAAAAGACAGAACCGGAAATTAAAATTTACCCTCGGCGGGCTACTGATTCACGCAAAACGTCAACGGCTTGATCGTTTGTGAAATTTTCGAATGAAATATCATTCACTTGTAAAATCATATCACCCGGCTCAATTCGACCATCCAACGCAACAGCACCACCTAAAATACACGGCTGATTATCATATCAAGATAGAATACAGATCTCTTAACACATATAAATAAAAAGATTGACTTAATCATAGAGGTCTGTTTCACTAGTTATGCATCAGAGGACTTTTCCGGGTGCTCTAATTAACGCTGCATCGCCTGATTTTGACGCTAGCTCGTTTCCAGAAGAAATTACCGCCTTAACGGTTTTCTGGATAAAACCACTTGACAAGGCTTTAGTTGTTCTAAGATGTTTTAACGCCTATATTAAAACAAGCTTGGAAGCGGATAATGGAATGGTACCCGTGCACGGTCAAGCGAATGCTGGGGAGACCACCAGTGAGGTGGTGAGACTCCACGGTATGCCTGTACGATACCACGCGGATTCGGAGGGTGCAACAACGAGTTGAATGGAGAAATTGCCAGTTGCATCAATGGTGCGACAACGAACGTTGATGACATACAGTTGCTCAAGTATTCAAGTAGTATCAAAATAAGCTTAGCCAGGGGCAAATGCTCAAGTAGCGGTCTGAAATCCTCACTCTTGAAAGCTTAAACAGCCTGTTTTGTGTGCTCACGATGAAGTAGAGCTCTCAAACCATAACAAAGTAGCAGCAAAATTCTTACCTTTCATAATATTAGCCACATAAATGCCATTATCACCACGCGAAGAGCTTTGTCCAACAATGCTTATACCCAGAAAGTTT